ATGAAAAGCCTGCATACCCCAGTCTGCTAGCTGTCTCTGTAAACGGAGTTGGAAGTGCTGGGGATCTGGTTGTCTCCCGTTTAAAGCAGGACTTCATGATGAAGATTTCAGGGTGCTGTATGTGAAAAGCTTATGTGGGAGCAAAGACCAAGAACTTGAGCCCCTGGGTCTTCCAGCTCCAGATGGAGTCTTAGCTCTGCCTGTGGGTGCTGTGTAATCTTGGACACTTACTTGGCCTCTCTGGCATCCTTTCCTCATAAAAAAAATAATAATAATAACAATGGGGATAATAGCACTATCTGGTTGATGTGAAGGCTGGAGATAAGGCAGGCAGGTCTCAGTAAGGGATTCAGAATCAACAATGTTGTAACATTATGTGACATCCTGCATGAATGGAACCATCCACACACAGCCCCTGAGACACGCCGGACATACTGGTGTCCTCAGCAAACTAAATTAGGTTGACATCTCTCTGCTGGCGCCCTGGGTCCAGGGCCACGTGGCGGAGATCAGAGTAACAGCAATGGCCACCTCCTGCCTCCTCTTCCTGGTGTGTAAAGAGGAACAGCCTGCTACTTTATCCTCATATTCAGCTGCGAGTACGGCATCTCTTTGTGCCTTGTGTTTTCAGGAAGAGAAACGAGGCACATCAGTAGTGATGGGCCAGGCGTCCAAAGGCAGATAGATGGTTTACAAACGGCAACTCAAGGTTTCAAGTTCTATCACTCTCAAGTCCCCACTGGCCTGCTCCCAGCACATGAAGATGTTGGAAGGATTGTTCTCCTACAACACCGCTCCCCATTTCTCTCCCCAGGGCCCAGCTATCTGGAGAGGGAATTCCCTAATGTAGCTCCGCTACTACAGAAACTAGCCTCAAGGATTTACCCAGGCCAGGAAGAAAGAAATCGCCATGCTGATGGACGTCTGTTGACTGGTTTTCCTCCACAGGAATCACTGCAGGATGGACGGCCAAAGGACCAAATTACAATAATTCGGCTTTCAAGATAACTGGCTTGATTTCTTAGTCTAGGGTTGAGCAACACTTCCTTTCATAAAACAGAGCGAGCTTGGAGCTGAGCAGAGGAGGCTGGCTCTCCAGACAGAAGAGGGCCGCGGAAGGAGCAGCTGGAAGCAGGGAACAGATTGGTCATTTCAAAGTTACTCGCCTTGGAAGGCAGGGCAGGCAGGCAGAACAATAGGAAACAGATGCTCCCTCAAGCAGGTTACTTGAGGTTAGCTGCAGGATTAAGGTAGAGGGAACCTGGTTGGCGTGCCAGTCGAAACTGGTTCCACTTAGGAAATCGAGCTGTTATCTCCTAATCCTGATTTCTCAAAGGTGAAATAAATGGCTTAGTTTCGTCTTGGTGGCACAGTACTGTGGCATGAGTGATGGTTCTGATGTGCAGGTCTGTCTTCGGGGTTGAACACAGGAGCTTAGCCTGGAACATTGGCCTCCCGACAATTGCACTTAGTGCTTCGAAGTCTTGCCTTAGCTTGTTGGGAGTCATCTTTTTCTTCCATGTGCACTGAAGCTGTGGTGACGTTTGTGTAAAGGGCAGGTGGCAAGGTTAAGAAGTATAGTACCCCTTAACTCCGTAGGAAGTAGCCCACCAATGGGAGGCTGTCTCCTAGTCTCAATCCCTCTTCTCGTCCAGCTAGAGTCAGCCATTTTGTTCCACTTAACCTTACCCCCAACCGTGTGTGTGTGTGTGTGTGTGTGTGTGTGTGTGTGTGTGTACACATGCGCACGTGCGTGCACTGAGGATCAAAGGCCAGATAGGTTTAAGTGTTCTACCACTAAGCTACAGCCCCAGCCCTACACCTTGTTTGATCTTAGCATCACTCTGCAAGATACTTGCTATCCTTACGAAAAGGAGGGTCCTCTGAGATGCCCAAGGTGTCCGGCCAGCATGCAATGTGTGAGCCTATCTCAACCTTCCTGGAGGGCATCTCTTCTTCCTGCAGGCCTGAACTTCCTGGATAATAAAGAAAACAGTCAAGTTTCTATTCCCGAAGGCCAGACACTGGCCAACACATGACTACAGATGGAACAGTGAATTGTGGCAACTAGTGGAATTGGCAGAGACAATACTACATGCCAGGGATTGTTGTGAAAATCACTTTAACTATGTAAAGACGAGTTACATTTGTCTATGCTGCTAAATATTACTTTAACGTGTAAAAGAATGTTCCATTTGGTTATGCTGCATTTGTTTAACCATGTAAGAATGTGTGTTTAATGATGAAAAGAAAGATGTGTTGCATTTGTATCACCTTGTCTGCCTGAGGCACCTGATTGGTCTAATAAATAGCTGAATGGCTAATAGCTAGGCAGGGCTGGCAGGCAGAGAGAATAAATAGGAGGAGAAATCTAGGCTTGAGAAGAGAAGAGAAGAAGAGAACAAGGGAGACACCCAGGGCCAGAAGCCAAGCAGCCACCAACCAGACACAGAGGCAGCAGGAAAGTAAGATATACAGAAAGAAAAGGCAAAAATTCCCTAGGCAAAATGTAGATGAAGAAAAACAGGTTAAGTTATAAGAGCTAGCAAGAAACAAGCCTAAGCTAAGGCCAAGTATTCATAACTAATAATAAGCCTCCATGTCATGATTGGGGAGCTGTTGGTGGTCCAAAAGAAAAAGCCTGGTACAAAAGTTAATTCTGCATTCTAGTGTAGGCCTATAGACCACTTCCTCCCCAGATATATGGTGTAAGATTGCCTGTCTCTATAGGGAAGAGGTCAGGGTTTGACCTGGTTATCCTCTCTATGCCTGTGAAGAAGCAAACTGTACCTGCCATTTCCCTGGGACAGAACAAAAGATCGTAGATTAAACAACCACAGCATGGAGCTTGGCAAGATGGCTCATCAGGTCTTGCAAGCCTGACACCTGTGTTAGATACCTGGCACCCAGGTAAAGGGGGAAGGAGGGAATCTGATCCACAAAGCTGCCCTCTGACCTCTACATACCCTTGTATCATGCATGGGTACACACATACACAACAAATAGATAGATATAGGTAGATAAATAAATTTAAACCATAGGAAGGTTCTGTGTAAACATTAAAAGGGACTTCCTGATCATGAAAGCTTCTAGAGACTAAAGTAGGTTCACATGAGAGAAGGCTGTCTCTTCAGGGACTGGTAGAAAAAGATTAGCCGCTATGAACTGAGTCTGGTGGCTCAGACTAAATTCTCAGCACTCAGACTCTGAAGCAAGAGGATCATCATTGAGGCTAGCCTGGGCTACAGGATGAGACCCCGTTTCACAAACAACTGACAAAGTGATCAGCTGCTGAGTAGGTCAGCGCCGAGCCCTGTGGAGATGAGAGTGAAGACTGGGATCACTAGGACTCTCTTCGAGCCTCCAGCTACGGGAAAACATATAAACACAAAGTGTAACTAACTTATTTTTAATTGAATAACCATTGCTTACAATTTGGGATGATTTCAACAATGCTTCTTGTATTTCTATTTTGGCTCTCTAGGGCAAATTTGAAGTTTCCTGGTAATTTATAATTTTAACCACAGTTTTCCTGAGGCAGTAAGTTTATATGGGAACATAGTTCACTCTGAATCTTAAAAAAATTTTTCTATGGTATAATTTGCCAATCATCCTAAACACACATGTCATTATCTCGTAAGCTCATAATTGCCGACTCCTTTAACCCTGACATCTCAGAACAGGTAGTTCTCATTCAAGAAACAGATCGTGGCCTTCTCAGCACAAAACCAGCTTCCCTGAATGACAGGCAGAGCCATTTGGAAAGGAACTGACCCTCCACTTCAGGTTCTGTGACTCAAAGCCTTGATGCTTTCTTTAGAACATCTTTATTTTTGTTTGGTCGGTTGGTTTTTGTTTTTGTTTTGTAGAGACAGGGTCTCACTGTGCTGTCTGTGTTGTTTGAGCTGGCCTCGATCTCTGGATTCTCCTGCTTCAGCCTCCTGAACAGTTGGGATGTCAGATGGGCACCACCACTCCCAGCCCTCTTATTGGGTTAGATGCTGCTTTTTTTTT